ATTGTTTAGAATCGGCATAAGATGTCTCGACAGCCGACCCATTGGACTATACGAAACATGTGATATATTACTCGGTGAGCCACTTTGTAGAAAATCGAGAGAGGTATCATGGATCGATGTAGAAATGCCGCATAAAAGAAAACGAAATTTAACAAAGAAACTCAGTGAAGTTGAAGAAATAGCAGCAAACGATCCATCAACTGAAGACTTTTATGGGGAGGGCCTTGTCACTCACTTTTATCCAAACAGAGCCCAAGAACATGAAGAATATTGCCTTTATGACTTTGTAGCCAAACTCACTTACAAGGGCAAAGATAAAAATGGCGAACGAATCTATAGACCACTACAGAAAGAGCGCCTTCCTAACTTTATTGATTTTGATGTCTATAAAGAAAATCAGAGAGACAGTTTCTATTATGCCATCATTCTCCTTTTCGTGCCGTTTAGAAATGAGGATGAATTAGTTCATGATGGTGAAACTGTCCAAGAAGCATTCGATCGCCACATTGTCGACCACGAAAGGTGTGTCGAAGCAAATGAGAAATTCAGAAAGTTGCTCAAATGTAGAGAGAAATTAAAAGACATACAAGATGCCAGAGCAGCAAACAGAGAAGAGGAAAATGATGTGGAAGACGACGATCCACAACTGATGGGACAGATTAAAGATGCAATGAATGACGTGAGAGATATGGACACTGGATCTGGTCTCACTTTGCAAGAGAGAGAATCGATGCTAAATGTAGACCAAAAACGCATCTTTGATCACGTAAAAGCTCATCTATTGAGGCAAATTGAATACGAAAATAAATCGAAACAAGAGAAGGAGCAATCAGAAAGTGTAAAACCGTTGCACATGTTCATCAGTGGTGTAGGTGGCACCGGTAAATCTTTTCTTATTGAGGCAATTAAAGCACTAGTGAAAAGCCTCTGGTCAACACTGACCAAACAGACATGTGCAGTCTGTGCTCCAACAGGATTGGCAGCTTACAATGTGGGAGGTGTGACAGCACACAGACTGTTTCAGCTGCCAATAGAACATGATGGACAATGTGCCTCATACTGGTCCATACCAAAGGCTAGTCACAAAGTAATGAAAACAGAACTTCAGGATCTGAAAATGGTAATCATTGATGAAGTGTCCATGGTTTCTAGCCTCAATCTCACTTACATACACATGAGAATGAATGACTTATTCGAATCAGACGAATGGTTCGGTGGCAAGAATGTCCTCTTTGTTGGTGACATCCTTCAATTGCCACCAGTTCGTGGACAACCAGTGTTTGACAAAGTAACAGCATCAACACTGAAATACAGACTTGGTAGTATGGGTGCAGTGAACATATGGCGTGATACTGTCACCTATGACGAATTGACAATAAACGAAAGACAAAAAACAGACCAGAAATTTTCGGAAATGTTGGACAAAGTGAGACGTGGCTTTCCAGACGATGAGACTTTCGCTACACTTTCCGAAAGGGTATTTTCGACGCCCATTGAGAAAAAATTTAAAATATTACAACAGGGTGGTAACGCCCCAGTTTGCCTGTTTCCAAAAGTAGACATGTGCAAAGAATTTAATGAAACAATGCTGGCTAATCTACCAAGTCCTACCATAAAAATAAGAGCCACAAATTTAATTGATGGTACTGGCAACATACATGTACGTAGAAAGAAAGATGATGATGATTTAGAAAAAAAGGTTGAGAAAAAGTTAAAAGAATTAAATAAAGATATTAACAATACTGGTGGTTTAGAAGCCAAATTAAAATTGGCTGTGGGGGCTAGAGTAATGTTGCGTTGCAATGTAAATGTTGAAAAGGGATTAGTGAATGGAGCACTTGGTACAGTGCAGGCCATTTCAGAAACACGCATAACAGTTAAATTTGATAGAATAACTGATCCTTGTGAGATTGAGAAAGTCAAGAGAAAGTTTATGGTAATGAAAAATGTCTTTGTGTATAGAAGCCAGTTTCCTTTGATATTAGCTTTTGCTGTTACCATACACAAATGCCAGGGACTGTCACTAGATAATGCAATCATTGATCTGTCTGAAAAC